AAATCTGGTACTTTTAGAGTTATTTACAAAAGTCTAAACATATAGCAGTTAAAATAACATAATAATTGTCGTTGCAGTATCAAGGATTATTGCTTGTAATACTTATCACCATAACAATTTATTGTTATATCATTTTTCACCTTTTTCAGAGAAACGTGAAAATAATAGTTGTATGTATTTTCTTTCTTCATTCTTGCACGAAAAACAAATTTTCCACATACTTGTAAACATTTCGGTGTGTTTTTTAAATGTGAAATCTTCGACAAATGCAATCTAACAATTGCTAGTCCATTAGAATAGTGTACAGCCGTGGAAAAATAAACTGAATCTACTGAATCGTTGACAAAATGTGTTCTGTTTGCTTTACTTTTTCTGGCGTTAATTTGTCTTGGAGATTACAACTGCCAATCCGTTGGCCCGCGTTAAAGTTTTAAGAAACTTTTTTACGTCTTGCGCGGAACTTCCGAGTATTCTGAGCCATCCACGTGAAGTCCCATAACGAGGTTACGCCATTCATCGACACGTAAGTCTATGAAGAGAAATGCAGAAGGGGAATCGGAGTCACTGCAAGGTACTCCGCAGTGCCATTGATGAAGACTCCATCGAACGTGTTCTACCTTCAACAAAGAATTCAAATGCGATTCATACAAACGTTTTAAATGGCCTTCGTATAATAGACTTTGAAATCCCCCATCGATTAATATCGCGACCAATCGGACGAATCTTCTTTCTATGCGTATAAAATAGCGTAAAGACGAACAAGTAACTTGCGATTTCCTCTTTTAATCCTCATCCCTTCGACTGAATTCCTTCCATGACTTAGAAGAACAGAGATAAATATAAAGTAGGAAAGACAAGTAGATCGAAGGCGGAACCGTAAAACTGTTCAAAGAATGTGTATTTTCAACTCAATTGATTTGATTAAGGAAAGAAATATAATCTTAGATTTCGTTTGCAAATAGAGAATTTATAAACTTAATTAATAGCAGAACTACCGAACCAATCAAAATGGCTGGTTTCTGAATTTGTCTTTTACAATTCGTGATATTAATGAAACATGTTTTTCTATGAGGAATTGTCAGATAAACTTATTTATTGAAGTATACATTATATTAGAAATTGTTATTACGAAGTTTAAATAAATTCAATCTTGACATTGTTATAAAATAATATACATTATAATATATATAGAATAGTATACTAGATTATATTCACAAAAATGACTGATACCAGATAAACACTGATATTTTACATTTACCTAGTGTATAAAATAATACATGGAAAATGAATCGTGTACCACAAAATGAAGTAGAAATACAATTTTGGAGTCACTCGTAATCCTATTGTAACAGTTAAGGATTAATTAAAGTATA